CAGCTGTGGCAGAGCGGAGCTGCGCTCTGCAAGTTAGCGGCCTTGTCCCGGTCAGCAGCGCACGGCCGCGATGAACATCTCGCGTCCGACTTTGGCTTTGCTGGTACGCTTGCACCGTGCCTTGTAAGGCGCTACAAATGGCCAGGCCTGTAGCGGACACTTGCAGTGCTGTAGGTATTGTTGTTCTCGGCCTCCTGCAGGCGTGGCCAGATTGATGACTAAGGCTGCTGGCTTCTTAGCGATCAAAAAATTGGAACCGAGTTTTAAATGTAAAGAAACCAAACACTTTTGCATTAAATTCTGGAGTACGGTGTTTGTTCTAAGCTTTTGTGGGTGTAAATTCTGTCACTTCTTTTTTAAGACCCTCTTCTTACCTAAGAATTTACCTGTTCTGGAGAAATGTTTGTTTGTGGCAGAAAGTTACAGCTGTACTTATCTATTACAGTACCTGTGAAAAACTGTTTCACTGTACCAGTGAAAGCTATTTCAAGGCACATGGCTTTATTCCTTCACACAAGATGATGCAAATGCGTTTGGAAGATGTAAAGAATCACATTAGCTTGTTCAGTCTCAGGTGGTAGGGGGTATACTCAGATCAGTAAAGGATCTACAGATATTAAGACATACAAAAATGTTCTCAGAATTGAGAGTTGAACTAATCTCATCGTTTCAAGAGTAGAAGCTAATTCTAAAATCCTTTTTATTATTTTTAATACAGTATAGTATATTGCTTTTAAAATGAGAAAGTTTATATGGAATTAAGATACATCATCTCATAAATACCAATCATTTTTAATTATTCCTTCTGCAGTAAAAGTTGAACTGAACTTTGACTCTGGGAACTGTCGATAGGTTAACAAAACAGCTTTCACTGCAAAACTTGCAGAATCTTATCAGTGTAGCACCTGATAAGCCAGTACAACCAAGTTGTGGGAGCCTGACATCATATTTAGGAGCTGATTTAATAAATACCGTGGAGTTGGTAAGTTTCCAAATGGGTGCTTGGAACTCGAGTTGTCTGAAATATGAGGAACTAGTCTTAGCTAAGAATATACCATATTTATGACACTGTAACCTAGATATCAAGCTCTATTGATTATATTAATTTGATATGTGTATTTATAGATGTACCAAATTATATTGATATAATTTAAAGCCAAACAATATTATATAAGTTACTCAGTTTGATAAACATATTTGTGGATGTTGTGCTACCATAAGCATTGTACATTTTAGCAAAAATGCTTTAATGTTGGGATTTTTTTTTTGTCACCTGTAATGAGCACTGTACTGGATGGCAGTATAATTTTAGTAAGAACTGTGCTAGAATAAAGAACAGTTTTCTTAAATAATGGTGGTATTTCAGGCTCAGTAGAAAGATCCTTCACTTACAGTGACAGATTTAAATGTATTTGGTATATCAGAAGACACATTTGTCGCCATTTCTTGGGCAGGTTTTCATTGTATATTACATGGATGTCATTCCAGTTACCAAAAAGAGGAAAATATTTGACATAGCAAAGTTGCTTTTTGAGTATTTCAAGAGTCATTCTCTAGTACAAGCATTTTTATAAAGTGATTAGTTTCCCCGCTGTAATGAAACTTCTTTCGTCTAAAAAGGCAGTATTGGATACTAGTATGTGAAATGAGAATTTGCTTTCTCATATAAATAAATCTTCAGAAAAAAAACCCTATAATTGAATTTTATCAAAGTAATACTGTAAAGAATGAAAAATGAAAAGGAAATTCTTGGGGAAACATCCCTATAGCGGTTGCAATATAAGATACTGTAAGCATTCTTAGGGATTCAAATAATCACATAAAGTATTAGTGAAACCCACCTACACAGTACTGTTTACATGCTTCTGTCTTCGTGGTGGGAAGGTCCTTAAATGATGTATGTCTTTGAGAGATAGAAAACTTGTGTGAAGGATGTAAGGACAAAATTCTTTTTGAGGGTTCACTTCTGAGAAGGTTGATTTATTTGTTTTCCTGATGCAAGTTTCTAATGTATCAGGTTTAATTACTTTTTTCCCCCTTTGAACAACTTTTTTTGTCTTAACTTTGAGTCTCATTTTTAGGAGAGATATATTTTATATTAATTTTAAAAGGGTAGAGAACACTAGGTTTTAGTTCCTGGAAACTTCTGGAAGCGTGTAGGAGGAAAACTACAAGCTTCTGTACTTTACTCTAATGGCAACTGGTGCTGAAGCTTTCAAGTATCCTTTTACTAATCTTTTTCACTGAATATTGAAGTTTCATATTTTAAAATAAAAGCAGTCTGTCTAAAAATCCCTTCTGTGTATATGTTCAGAGCTCTTATTTTCCTTATTCTTGTGATTGAGCTTTCCAGCGTGGGCTAGTGCTAAAGGGAGCAATTAGAAGTAAAAACCTCTATTTTGCAATAAAGGCACAAACCGCAATTTTTTGCATTGCAAGTCATCTCTAATATCTACCCACACTCTGTAGTATGTCAGGTTTTGGTTTTTTTGCTTTCAGCAGCCATACTGAAGCAAAGTAAACTTTATGTATTTCAGAAGGAGGAAGGAAGGTGTAAGTCAGTTCTGCCATCATTTGAATATGTTAAATCTAACCATTTCATATCTTACTTAGGCTGTGAAAGTATTTCTCCAGCAAGACAATAGCTTGAGGGCATGAGAAGGTCTTTAACATAACTGGTAATTTGTGCTACTGTTGTTGCACACATTGATGACCTTAAGGGGCTTATTCATATTATGAATTCATATTCATATGAATGCTGAGCGATGTAAATTTTCCTTTTGGTGGTTGTTATGTTAAGATTTATAATATAAAATGATATTATAACAGTTTCTTCTATAAAAGAAATAAAGCACCCTCTCTTGTATACTGGAGCATATTGAAATATAGTGGAATTTATTATTTTCTCAGGACAGATGGAAGTTTTGTGGTTCATGATGTACCTTCAGGATCTTATGTAGTGGAAGTTATATCCCCTGCTCATAAATTTGAGCCTGTGCGAGTTGACATAACTTCAAAAGGCAAAATGAGGTGAGCCTTTCCTGATTTGCTTCTGCATTGATCTATTAAGTATGACTGACAGCACAGTATAAGGAGTAATGTAAACAGTACTGTAGATCTGATGTTCCATTTCAGACCATGTTTCAGCTTCTTTTAACGTCACTTCTAGGAGCACGTTTCTTAAAATCTAAAGTCCGATTTCTTTCTTCCTTTCATATTTATGGCACTAAATAAGAGGAAATGGATAAAAAGAGTCCTTCTATTTGTTTACTTTTGTTATTTTTCTTATGCAGCTATCCCGAAATAAAATCTAGACATAAGCAGTCAACTGCTTTATCTTTTGCCAATACCTTCCCCCCCTCCCCCTTCCCTTTTTCCTTTCTTTTTTGGTAAATGTTCTGTCAAGACTTGGCACAATGAAAATCTAATTCATTCTAATTCTAAAATATTTCTGTTACACATCTGTAAGATACTCCTTACAGTTACTGGCAAATGCTAGTAGTTGCCAGCCTGCAGTATTTCTGTAGTATCATTAGCTTTTTTTTTTTAATGTTACGGCCAGATACGTTATCCATAACAACTGTAACTGTACATCTTTGCGCACTATTCAGTAAGTAATACAGAAAAATGGCTATCCTATCTAATAAGGTGATTTTTGTTTAAATGAACATGTTTGTAGTTCATTTTTCTTTGTGCTTAGATTTTTTTCCAAACTTTATGAAATTTTTATGTTTATACTTTGTTAGGCAGCATCTCACTGGCAACAATTAATATGTAATAAATACAGAAGGAACTTGGCGAAATAGACACAATAGTGTGTATAACCTCTCATTTAGCACTGTTTTGGTATCTGAGGACTAGAGGTAACAAATTTGATGTTAAGTAAATTGCTAGGATGTGCAGAGCAAAGTATCAGTAGGCTTGACATCTCTACCAGTCAAACATGTAGGAACTATAATGAGGAATACAGTTGGGAGATGCATGAAAAAATGTGATATGTGGGGAAGATGTCAGCTGGGCTTTTCTGAGGAAAGTTCTGCCTTAAAAAAAACACTGGAATTCTTAGAAAGCAGAAACAGCGTGTGGATAACGGATATATTTGATAAGATCTATTTGAAAAATCTCAAAAGCTTTTGAAGAAAATATGAAGTCATAAGGTAGGAGGGAAAGACGTTCTGTGGATGAATGTTTGGTGAAAAATTCAGAAGAAATAAATGATTTCTCTTGTAATGGGCAGAAGTCATCTGTGGAGTTGCACAAGGCAGGTAAATACTCATGAAAAATGGATGAAGAGTGACAAAGTTAGGTGATAGTAGCAAGTAACTATCTAAATACTAGGCCCAAGTGAAGAATACTAGTGAAGAACTATGGAAAGAGCTTAGAAAGTAATAAAGACTGAGATTCAGTATTGATAAACGCAAAGTAATGCACTTAGGGAAAAGGTAGTATTTACTTCATATATAAATAATTGTTGCCCTGAGAAAACTCTGTTTAAGCTACACAACATTGTTCAAAGCTGTACCTTCTCTTTGAACGTTGTAGCTTTTCTTGCTCGTTACCAAGTTCAGAAACAAATGTTTTGCAGAAGTGACATTAGAACAAATAGTCATGTTTCTGATCTGTAGGTCTATTTTCCGTACCAAATTTTTCAGACTGCTTAATAGCTAGCCTGGAAAAAAGGTAAAGTATTATTTGATTCCATAAAGTATGCTGCTGAGAGATACTAGCTTCTGAAAAGTGAAGCCTAGCTGCCACTGCCTAGCGGATAGCTTTGTTTGTAGTCTATTATTAAAACCTTTTTTGGAGTATTATTAAATAATCCTTTTTTTTTTTAAGGATTGTATTTATATTTTTAATTATTTACATTTTGCTCATTAGAGCAAGATACGTGAATTACATCAAAACCTCTGAAGTTGTCAGGCTGCCGTACCCGCTCCAGATGAAATCTTCTGGACCTCCTTCATACTTTATAAAGAGAGAATCTTGGGGATGGACAGATTTCCTCATGAACCCTATGGTACGTACAGGCAACACACAAAGGTTAAAAGTATGCTAAGGATCCAAATATAGCTATTCAGAATACTGAGAATAAAATAATTGAGAAAAGATGTGCACACTTTGCTCTTCTGAGAGGATTGTTTTATTTCTTTGTTTTTTACTTGTTTACAAATAGAAAGTTTTTTTCTGTGACCTCTCCTCCCCTATATGGCCACTCTGTTAATGTATGTCCTCTGAAAATAGCCCATAGTTTGGTTCCTTTGACAACACGATCTTGTTCTAGTAGTGTGGAGATCAACATGTTGCAAGATTATAATTATAACAGTTGAAAGAGATAACAAGCATTTACTTTAATGGTCCAACTTTGAAATCTGTTATTTAAAATGTAATACTTCCTCATCAGGTTTCTTTCCCAAGAAGTGGATTGTTATTGGGTTACTGACGCAGGATGCAGTAGTTTTAGAGTTTGGCTGTTTAGCTAGAAGCTTTATGTCAGTATGTCTAAAAATATCTGAAGCAACAAATAAGCTGAAGAAATATTTGCTGTTTTCTGTGTAGGTGATGATGATGGTTCTTCCATTACTGATATTTGTGCTTTTGCCTAAAGTTGTCAACACCAGTGATCCTGATATGAGACGGGTAAGTACATTCAATTGATGCAGACATAGAGAACAAAGACAATGAGATTTTAAGGTACAGAAAAGTAATAAAACCAAAACTGAACTTTTAAAGAAGCCTTAAGGGACATAATTTATTCAGTTAATACAGTGTTGCTGTTCTAACAATAAATTCTAACATTTCCAACTCATGAGTTTGCTGTTAAACAGCACAACAGAGAATTAAATTGTTTGGCACAGCTTTGAAATTGTTAAAGTATGAATGGTGTTTTCCAGAGTTTCTTTAGAGCGATAAATATAATTTCTCAAAGGCTATTTTTTCTATAAATTTCCAATGTATTTCTGCACTATGTTTAAATGTAGCATTTCATTTTTAGACATCATTTAGTAAGTGTCAGGTGTGAGAAGCGTATGATGTGGCACACTCTTACCCATCAACCTAAGCCATATAGTTTACAAGACTGTTAAATCCAGATGTCACAATAGTGTATATGATATGGAGTCTTAATGTAGTCGTTAAATTATCTGACTTACTGTCCTTTCATCATGCAAAATGCCAAATAGCAGAAGGCTAGGACAAAATGGAGATTCAAGGTGTTTGCTAAATCTTTTCTTATCTTTAGAAGTATTCCTTGTCTGTCTTACGTGGTTGCTTTTTGAGGGTTTGGTTGATTTAAACTCCTTTTCCTCTAAATGACCACTGTCTTCAGTAGTACTTTATAGGTGTCTGAGTCTTCTGAAGTAATACCTATAAAAAGCATATCAGAGCTATGTAATGCTCTTTTGGCTTTAATTTTGATTAAAAACAGGATATGAAGATATGATGGATATCCGTGGCATGTTCTTCAAACCAAGCTTTGGAACTTTGGAAGTTAAATTTTCTAAAAAATCACATATTCCTTACTTTTTTCACTGATCTGACACTGCTTGCAGACAGGCTGTTCTGATGGTAAACCATCAGAACTTCTAATGATCTAGTTGTTATTAGCTGACTGATACGATTTGTTAAGGAGAAATTTAAAGTTGAAGGAATCTTGCTTGTCATTTAAATAATCTTTAAAGAACAGGAGAAGGTAGTTTTTAAGAACTCGATTGTAATGGCATTCACTAAATGACCGTGTATTAAATTCTTAAGTGTGTATCTAACTTCAGTTTGCTTGTGGGAGGGTATGGAGCTTGTATTACATTTTTCAAGTTAGCTTGTTTTCTTTATGGAATCAGCACAGTACTAGTTCATCTAGAAAGTTAATGATTTAGTAACTGCTTGTTGTAGAGGCATTAAGTACAGATGTAGTATAGATGCAGTAGTAACAAAGGCTACCATAACAGCTTTTGTTTTGTTTGTACCTTGAAAACAGTTAAAGCTGTATCATTCTGAATGGTAACTAGAGGAGCAAGGTGACAATCCCACATTAAATTGGCAATTACTATAAGCATTATCACATTGTGTATGTGCAGTTCAGCTGTTGTTGCATTAAAAGTACTTCAGGGTTTGCTTGTTTTAAACCGTACTAATTAGTCTCCTAGAGCCACTATGCTAAACTCTAAAGTTACATTAAGCTTAGCTGGATATATGGTCTCACGTTAAAATCCTTCCTTTCATGAAACAAAGAAAACTTAGCTGCTGTACACTAATAGCTTGATGTTACAAAGTAGGGCAATAAAAATATTTAATCCCTTTAAACAGCTTCAAAAATTCGTTGCATTTGGCGTAAATAATACTAATTTGAAAACACAAAAGTATGTGAAATCTGTGAGAACACAGATCTGAAAATCCAAACAAAAGCTTAATTTTTAAATTTTAAAATGGAAGAAAGTAATGCTGAAAGTAAGTAATGGCATCTTTTTCTTTTAGAATTTTTTTTTTTAATCAGGTGGTTGCCCTGTAAGACTGCTTAAGATGTGGTTACATTTTTGCATATACCAGTGCTTTTAGTTTTGGGGCTTTACGTTTCTGTGTGTAGCTGGGCATTTAGCTGTGGTTGCATAAAAATATGTAGCAATATGTACCCTGGAGGACTACAAGTAGTAAAACAGTATTTGGGAAAATTTGACATCTTCCTGATACAATCTTTCAACTGATGCCTTAGAAACAGCCAGAATTGTTACGAGCTATTAAGGTTATCTAATCTTTGCATGCAGGAAATGGAGCAGTCAATGAACATGCTGAATTCCAACCATGAGCTGCCAGATGTCTCTGAATTCATGACAAGACTTTTCTCTTCAAAATCTTCCAGCAAGTCTGGTAGTAGCAGCAGTAAAGCAGGGAAAAGTAGTTCTGGAAAAAGGAGGTAGTTAAGTCTTCCTCCTAAGCCTGAGTTTGCACAACTGTTTGTTATGTGGTATCATGTTTATTTGTCTTGAAAGATCAAAAAGCCACTACTGTAAACTTAACCAGGCACAAAATACGGTATGCTACAACTGTGGTGTGTAGCTTTTTTTTAGTCTATATAAGCTGTTTTGTACTTGACAATAAGCAAAAGAGGACATGGCTTCAATACTGTATCTGTATAAAGTTACTGATGATACTGAATTAACTATATTGTTCTGTAGAGAATTATTATAAGTTATATGATGTGCTGAACAGTAATGAATGTCTTAATCATAAGACAATGTATAAAAAAATTCAAAGATAATAAAAGTGGAGTTCAGTCTTAAGATGGTTTTCATGTTTTATAGTTGCTGTTGAGTTCTGAAATGAACAAATCCTCCTTTCAAAATTGAGTCGTGGGTTTACCGAGTAATTTGCTGTATCAGCTTGTCATATGCGTTACGTATAAAGTATTTTATTTTACATTGTTTGCTGCCTGTACGCTTTAGTTCAGCGACTTTCCACTTTTTCTTGCCCAGTTTTATTCTAATCTACTTTCTGCTAAAAACTCTTTGGGGGGAAAGAAGGCAAAGCATCCTGCATCAGAAAGTCTTTTCATCTCTGTCAAGTTCATTATGAATCCAAGATATCTATATAACGTGATATGAACATTTATCTTGGATCTTTCCTTTCTAAATCACATGTAATCACTTCTGCAACACTTTTGGGTCTTACTGTTTTCTGTGTGCCATGCATTCATCTTATCAGTGGTATGATTTGAGGCCAAATAGCGAACAAAATTTTTAAAATGAAAGAAAAACCCTAAAAGTATAGTAGGAAGGTAAATACCACTCATCTTTTAAATTATGTTCCAAAGTATACAGCTATCTGTAGGTATGCTTAGTTACTGCCAAAACTTTATTCTTTGAGCATGCCTGTGTGTACTGCAGTATCTTTTCGAACTAGCCAGTAACTTCAGAGAAAAGTTGAAAAATTTTATTGTTTGTTTTCTACTAGATGAATATTTGCAAATTAAAATGATGGCAATACCTGCCAAACACCATTAGCAACTGCCCGTAAATCTTTTTTCTTCAGGTGTTTTTGTGTTTTGGATTTTTTTAGCACAAATGCTGTTGTTTTCCAGTGTTACAATTGCTAGCTTCTTACGTAACAGTATCCATGCAGTATGGGTAATGTATAACTGATTCCAAAAAGATATTTAACAGATGCCTAAAGTACACCTGAAGCAAAATAAATTCTAATGCATTTATTTGTTCTGCCAAACACTTAGGGCTGTAAATTGTCTTAGAATACATACTTAGAAGTATGCTGTGAAACATAAAAGGTGCAAAAGAATAAGTACTGGTTCATAGGATTAAGTCAACTTTTAAGATGTTGAAGAAATAAACCAATGTTTTTTGGACAGTGGAAGATTTCAGTCTTTGCGAAGTAAGCTGCACAATTTTGGTCTTGTTTTTGTTTTGTTTGAATGCTCTTTTTGCTTTATATATTAAGTAAAATATATCTAATAGAGACAAGAAGATACGTGGATATTCATGCTGGAAGGATTTACTGAAATGAGTGTCATGTTGCCTTTGTTTTTTTTAAAAAACCAAAACAAAACAAAAAACCCTTCCTCTTTCAGCAGCATCTTACTGAAAAAATCATAGGAAAACCAGGGAGCAGTTCTTTGAAGATGGGGCAATTAGCTTTGTTACTGTGCTGTCCTGAGAAGTACAAGCCACGAGTTACTTTTGTTTAACAGTAATTCGAATGACAATTAAATTGCATTAGCTTGTTTTAATCACAGTTTGTTTGATAATTAATTACACTGATGCATTTTTCATTGTTACAAAGCTGAGAACAGCAATATTTCTGCCTTCTTTCATTGTGTCTGTTTATGGTTTTGATCTGTCTTTAAGGGAGAATGGAGAATTCAGGCCATGAAAAGATAAAAGTCTTTGTTAAGAGTTCAGAGTAAAAAAAATTACAGGAATTGTAAGGTTCCTAATAAAACTTTGGAAGGAGCATATGGAATATTCAACACTTGTTTTTTTTTCTTCGAAATGATATATCAAGGTACAGGCAATTTCTTTGTGCGTCAGGATCAGATGCAGTGTACCACTGCTTTGTCTTCCTCAAGAGAAAACTGCCCCACCCCCCGAAACCTGTTGCCTGAACAATCTAAGCCCAGAAATCTTGCTACCTAATGTTATTCCCTCAATCATGTGCGTTATTCCTCTCCTTTTCGGACACTTTTGTGATAAAGTGATTTATAGTGTGTATTGGTCTGCTGCTGAACTAGTGCTAGTTACAATGGTACCAGCATTTTTTTTTTTTTTTTTTTTTTAATTTAGAGCTGGAATCTGTGTGTGTCAAGTGAGGAAAAGAGGTTCTAGCCACAGTGCCTTGGTCACTTAAAATCGTAATGTGGTCTTGGGTTATCATAAATACTGCTGGGCAAAGCTTATTTGATAGCTTTCCTATTGCGGTTACTAGTATAATGCAAGGTTGTCTTTCTGCAGAAAGTAGATGTTTGCTATAGTTCAAATTCCTTGTCCTTATTTACAGATTTTTAGTAGTCGTCTTTCTGTATTAAGTCCGACATACCTGTTTTCCCAATAAAACATAGCTGCCTTTTAGAGAGGCTACTTGAGATAACAAGGCAGATGGTAAGTTGAAGCAGCTGATACCTCAGAACAGAAATTAAGTATGTACAGAATCTTCCTGGCCTACAGACAAGCTGATTTCCTCGTTGCCAAAAGGAGGAAGACTTGCTCCCTCAGCTTGGACTGGGTAGTCCTGCTGCCTTCTGCCTACGAGTTCTGGTACTTCTCAGGCTTTGCCCTTTGTTGACTTAACAAGAGAAATTTGTCCATCTTTCTGCTGGATTTCTGTTATGTTTTGGAGAGTTAAATCAGCTCACAGAAAGATCAAAGAAAATACCAGAGCCAGCAGAAAGTAAGCACCAGAGGCATGCAGTCAGAAGCAGGAACTCATCTCTGATTTGGCAGTGAGTGCGAGTAATGGAATCAGCTCACTGCATCTTAAGGATTTGTAGCCTAAGAGCTCATTTAGCCGTGTTCTGAATGAGTGGGCAACTGAGTTTATGACAGGCTGTGTAGAAGGGAGAAGAGACATATTTTCCTGAAGTCTGTTTCAACTGTTAGTCATTTAAGTTGGCCTGGAAGGTGTTTAGAACAGTTTGAAATAATTTTATCAATTACTTCATCAAAGATGCTTTCATTCCTCACATGTGAGGAAGAACTTTATAGATACCTCGCTGTTTTAAACAAAGAAAATACTTGTTGGTGCTCTTTTTGATGAAGTGGGGATGATAATGGCTCTGTAAATGGGGTGTGTATTGCTTCAAAGAGAAAGGCTGGCTTGTGGTTGAGATTTCTATTTGTGAAGAGGACTTTAGAATCAAGTGCCTTGGGTTCTGATGCAACTGTCAGGCTTTGTGCAAATCATTTATGATTTCTGTTTCAGTTTCTTGTGTATGAAGTATGAGAAACTTGTCTCACAAAAGTAACTGTAAGGATAAATTTAGTAATGAATATAGTACTGAAATAGTATGGCTGTGAGCTTACTGAAGAAAATCTCGTAAGCAAGCTTCTTAAAGAGCATGTTTATTAAGCCTTTGTATGTAGTTCTTTATACATATTTATTAAAGCAACCCTTTTAAGTAACCACATGTCAAGATTTCCAAAGCAGTCTAGGCAATTTAAGTACATATTCTTTTCCAATTTAGTGAAAAGTGTATTAAATCACTAAGATCCATTTAAACATCTCCACTTGGGCATTAATGGACCTGTAATTGCATAAAAGTTGTGTGTGATCAGTAGCTCAAAGAGGGCAAAGTTTGTTTTACATTTTGATAAAAGGACCCTGGTTTCACAGGCTAACAGTGATAGCAGTACCTTAAGGTACTAAAAGCATTTCACTTTCACTTTTAAGACATCATGTCTGGCCTTAATCCTGCTGCTATTGATAGTAGATAGTGAATTTGTATTCCTATGATTTTTTGTTTCATTTGAAACTTACTTCTTGTAGGAAAATAACCAATAAGAAATATAAGTAATGGTAGAGCCTCAGTGGCAATGCATGTTTTTCATTCTGATGTGTCAGCATATATGGACAAACGATTATAAGAGAGCAAATGAAGATGTCTGGCCACTTTGTGACTCATATGTCTGTATGTCATAACTGTAGTTACAGCTTTTAGGAGAGCACAGGCTTCTGCATTTGCCTATGACCCATGTGAATGAAGAGAAAGCAGTGATCCCATGTTTCTTTCCAGCTGGGTAAGATTGTTATGCCATTCAAGAGATTGAGCTCATCAGTCTCTTCTTGATCACTACATAAAAACTGGTCACCGATTTAAGGCTCTTCCTTAAATGGTATAATCTAGCACCAAGCAATCCATCTTTCCCCAACTATTGATGTAGGCTTCATTCTGTGTAACAGTCTGCCAATGGACTGACTAAATACAAACCACATTATTACACCTTAACTGCCAAAAAGCAAGCAGTATCAATTGTGAAGAACAGAATTTCAAAAATCTTACTGCTTTCATCGTTTCAGTGTCTGTCAAGACAGGACCTTAGATCTTAATGACTATTTTGAACTTGATACTGTGTGTAAAATCTGGTGATTCAGACCATAAAATAATACAACATTCAGGGAGCTTTTAGTCACAAAATTGTCTGTAGGTATAGTATTGAGTTTTAGTCTATTTTCAGGTTAAGCTAGTGAAAGCTTCTTGAAGTCACAAATAGTTGCTTTAGGGTTTTTTATTTATTTCTGTTGTTTCAAAATCCATAAAGGATTATGAATCCTTTGTCATAATAAATATTGCTTCTTCAGGAAAACCTGTCTACTTTTGAAATGACAAGGTTATTCCTTCAAATTATGCTGGCAGTGACTCTTGTGTAATACTTTGTTTCCAATAAGGTTATGAAGATTTAATGACAGTATAATTTTGTGTGCAAGTGGAACTTAGCTCTTTTATTGATGATGCACAAAACCAGATTACAGTTGAGCTCATTTTTATTATGTATTTGGTTCTGCATGGCTGATAGGAATAAAAATCAATTAAAGACTGTCATTCAGTCAAGGGCAAATGCTAGTGAATATACAACAGAAAGAAAACCTTTCATGGCATTTTTCGACCAAAACTGGATTTTGAACTGATTCTTTAAAGCTGAATACAAAGATCAAAAAGTAATATATAAGGTGGTGAAACTCATTTGAAAACAGAGCAAGTAAAAAAGTTT